AGGAGCCCCTGGCTCCTTTCTTTTACCAGTTCCATCTATGTGAAGATAAGTCAAAGGTCCTGCTCGACCATTGTTGGCTTCTCTTGGAAGCATGGAGGAAATGATTCCTCCGTGTTGACCCTCCTCTTTATAGACTGGACACTGGTTCAAGTCCATCTGGTGGGGTCACCTTGGCCTCCTTGCGAGATGCTCATGGTCCCTGGGAACTAATCAACCTAGGAGGGCAGGGAGCCAAAAGTGTCCTTTGTATCCCTCTGACCCAATTAGTATAGATCTCTAGGTATCTCTGTTAAACATCCAAGAAGGTTAGTTCCACCATTCTTGGATTTTTTAATTACTGTGTGTCATGCAGATAAATCTCGGGTAATGATCTGTTGGTCTCAAATAAACCACATCTAGAGATATATTTCTTGATCTGTTATGTATAATTTGTCAGTAGATTGTAGGAATAATATGGTTCCCTCTGGTTTTCGTGACTAGCTAGGCATTGTTTCTCTCTTGTATCGTCTCCCCCCTCTATCATGGTTTTCCCACTTAAGTTTTCCCACTTTATTTATTTTTATTTTTTGGTCTTTTTTAGACAGGGTCTCCCTGTAGCCCCAGCTGGCCTGGAACTCACTATGTAGACCAGGCTGGCCTTGAACTCACAGAGATCCACCTGCCTCTGCCTCCCGAGTGCTGGGATTAAAGGTGAGTACCACCATGCCTTTTTTTTTTTTTTTTTAATGTGTGTTTGTGTTATACCTGCATGGATATAAAAGGCACCACATGTGTGATGTTCCCACAGAGGTCAGAAGAGGGTGTTGGATCCCCTGGAACTGGAGTTATGGATAGTTGTTAGCTGCCATGTGGGTGCTGGAAACTGAACCCGAGTCCTCTGTAAGAGCAGTTGGTGCTCTTAACAGCTGAGTCGTCTCTCCAGCCCCTTTGGCATTTTGAACCCTCAACTTCTGGTAATGCCCTTGCATTCCTGCAGGCTTGCGATGGCAGTGACCCCTTTTTGAGAGCATTTATTCACTCCTTCCTTCCTTAACAGGAAGTGTTTATAAATGATCTCTCTGTTCCACACCTGGGCCCATTATTTTTTTACCTACTTTGTAACTAGGGATGGTGATTGTCCCATTTTACAGATGGAGAAACTGATTCAGAAGTCAAGGAAATTCCCAAAGCCACCGACCTGAGTTTAAACCTAAGGGCTTCTGCTGCTAGGCTCTGGACCCTTGTGTTTCTGCCTCGCTGCCCCGAGATCCCACTGCCAATAAGCTGCTGCTGCATCACTTATAGCAGGGCAAGGCTGTGGGCTCTACCTAAGGCTAGCCATGGCAGCTGCCTTGTGATGCCCACAAGGCTCACCCAGACCAAGGGATGCTAAGCAGGCCCGGGCCTGCAGAGCTGTGAGCAACCCCTGAGGATGTGATTGTGTCTGCTTGTTCAGGGTCTCCTTCATTCAGCATGGTGGCCTGGTATCAAGGGGGCCACACACAAGGATGGACACTTCGTGCCATGCCATCCGGCACCTCTGTCCCAGTTACTAAGGATGCATAGCAACTTTTCTCAAGGCTTCATGGTCTAAAACAAAATGTTCATTGTACCTGTAGTTTCTGTGGGTCAGAATTTAGACAGGATGCTGTGGGGGCTTTTGGCCTCTACTCCGTGGTGTCTGGGTCACTGCTGGAGAGCCAAAGGATGAGGTTAGAATCTCCCCAGGGCCTCTCCTCACATGGGTCTGTGGGTCTGGAGCTCACACCTTGGTGGCAGGCAGAAGCCATGTTTCCTTATATGGCCTAGCTTCCAAAGCCACATGGGTAATTAATGCCACTTTTCTGTCACTGAAGCAGTCACAGGTCTCATGGGAGGAAGGGAAATGGTTACAGCTCATGCTGGATAAGTGGTCAGACTCTGAGAGATCTTATGGGCCCAAAGTTTCACTGAAGTCATTTCTCTGAGAGAAATACAACCCCACAGCCATCAGGGCAGATGGCGGAGGTCGCCATGATGCTGGGCCTCAGGCAGCAGGGCAGTGTGGCCAAAAGCCCAAAAATCTGCTTTCAAATCTTGGCTCTGCCACTTGGTAGCTTATAAACTCAGCCTTCCTCCTCCTTCTCCTCCTCTTTCTCCTCCCCTTCCTCCCTCTCCCCCCCCCCCCCCCCCCCCCCCCTCCCCCCCCCCCCCCCCCCCCCGCCCCTTTCTCCCTCTCCCTCTCCCTCTCTGAGACAAGATCTCATGTAGACCAGGCAGGTATTGAACTCATTATGTAACTAAGGTTGACCTTGAACTCCTGATCCTCCTGTCTCCACCTCCCAAGTCCTGGGATTACAGGCCTCTGTTACCATCCCTCTATCCATTTCTCCCTCCCTCCCTCCATTCCTCTCTCCCTCCTTCCCCCTCCCCTCCTCCCTCCTTCCTTGGTTTCTAGAGTCAGGGTCTTACTCTATAGCCCAGGCTAGCCTCAGACTCATGATAATCCTGCGTTACAGATGTGAGATACCACACCTGGATTCTGCCTCCTTCCCCTCTCCTCTTTTCCTTCCCTCCCCTCTTCCCCCCTTCCCCACCCCTCCCCTCTCCTTCTTTCCCTTCCCCTTCGATCCTCTTCTCACTCTCTCTGTTTTTCTGCCCCCATGTCTTTCCTCCCCCGTCCCCATCATTCCCAGGCTGGCTTTGAACTTACAATCCTATGTTGCCGTGCCTAGTGAGCCCTCTTTTTGGGTGTGATGGTTACCTTTTAACTGCCACAAGGTGGACTCAGTTGAGGAATTTTCTCGATAGGGCTGGCCTGTGGGCACGTCCGTGAGGGATTGTTATAGGAAGGCCTGGCCCGATTGAGTGGCAGCATTCCTTAGGTAGGGAACTGAGCTGTGTGAGGGGGGAAAAGCCAGCTAAAACAGCAAGCAGGTGGCTCAGGCACATTTGTATCTCTCCGCTCTTGACTGTGGCATGACCAGCTTCTCAAGCTCTGTTGTGACTTCCCTCAGTGATGGAATTCCAGTAAGCTGGAATTGAGGGTTGAATAAACACTTTCCTCCTCATGTTGGCTTTCATGGGATGTCATATGGCAGAGGGAGATGCTTCTCTGTCCTGCCTTGGTCGCCCTCATCCTCCCCATGACTTTTATCTGTGTCCCTCAGACGACCTTGTGGAGAAGGCTCCATGCTCCTGGAACTCCTCCCGAGTCTGCGAGTGCCGGCCTGGAATGTTTTGTGCCACACCGGCCACCAACTCCTGTGCCCACTGCATCGCCCACCCTGCCTTCCCACTGGAGACCATCATCAGACCCCAGGGTGAGCAGTTCCTAGCCCAGCCCCAGCCGGCTGTATCTCCCCCTGCTCCCACCTTGGTACCCCACCCCATCTGAGGTCAGATGTTTTAGTTAGCTTTCTATTGCTGTCATTAAATACACAGACCAAAACCAAGTTGGGGAGCAGAGGGTTTATTTGGTTTACAGCTCACAGTCCATCATCAAGGGAAGCCAAGGCAGGAGCTCAGGGCAGGAACTTGGAGCACAGACCATGGAGGAACGCTGCTTACGGGCATGCTCCTCTGGCTGGTGCTCAGCTTTTATAGAACACAGGAACACCTGCCCAGAGGTGGTACTGCCTACTGGGCTGGGCCCTCCCACATCACACAGTTAAGAAAATGCCCGGCAGACATGGCCACAGGCCAATCTGATGGAGACAATTCCTCAGCTGAGGTTCCCTTCATCCAGGTGTGTCCTTGAAGTGACCCAGCACATCAAGTTTGGGCTTTACTCATTCATAGAGTTTGGACTTTGCTCATTGGATCCAGTGGTAGAATGAAATCTCACCTGCCATTTGGTAGCAGGCTCTGATGATCTGTCAAACAAATTTTTCCTGAAATGACTGGGCTGGTTTCATGTTGACTTGTGTGTGAACTTGTTGAGTAGATGAATGCGAGGTTTCTGACTGACTTCCATCCCAAGGTGGTGAACTTCACAGGGTGCAGAAAAGCCTAAACCCCTGCTCTGGGGAGAACGGGGCTCATCAGGAGACATTTCAGCAAGTTTCTAAGAGGTTGAAAACAGATGAAAGGGTGGTGACAGACGGCACCGAGTGGAGGAAAGCTCATCCAGACCCCTCCGTCTGTGGGAACAGCCGGTGTCCTCTGCTGTATCAGAGAGGCTGTAGACTCAGAGCAAGCAAAATAAAGGCAGGAGGGAGCTGGACTCTGAGTGCATGTACATCCAGCAAATAAAATGTAGACCATGGCTGGGTGCAGACACTGGCCAGGCTACGAGGACTGGGAGTGAGTATTTGCCTTCTACGGGAACAAGACTCAGAACTAGGGGTGTGGCTCAGTTGCTTGAGTGCTAGCCTAGCATGCCCGAAGAAGCCCTGGGTTCCATCCTGAGCACTGCATAAACCAGGTGTGATGCACACTTGCAGTCCCAGCACTCAGGAGGTGGAGGTGGGAGGATTAAAATTCAAGGTCATCTTGGGCTATATAGTGAGTTTGAGGCCAGCCTGAGCTACAAGAGACCCTGTCTCAAAAAAAACCCCAAAAACCAAAAAAACAAAACAGCCACCGACCAGACTAATGACACTGAAGGGAAGCCAGGCTACGAGCATGGAACTGTCACTCTGTTTGTTAAGCCCTCTTTGTATATTTGGGAACACACTCTGTTAACGGGCTAGCCCTGCCCAACCCCTCCCCAGTCCCCCAGCCCATCCCCGGGAAATTAAACCTGGCAGCTTCTACTTCCTCCCTGTGGGCCTAGAAAGTCCCCTTCCCTCCTCAGGGAAGGGACCTGCTGTGAAGAAAACACCCTAAAACCACTGCTGAAGAGCGCCGCCCCCTAGTGACTGGAATATTCAGCCGACTTCTTTTAAACTTTTTTACACATGTATTTACTATGTATGTCTGTGCACCTACACTTGCATGTGCCATGGTGTGTGTCTGGAGGTCAGAGGCCAACTTTCCAGAATCAGTTCTCAACTTCCACCATGTGGGGTCCAAGGATCAAACTCAGATCATCAGGCTTGGAGGCTACAGCCTCTACCTGCTGCAGCATCTCCCCAGCTCATCAGTGGACTTCTTTGTTAACATGAACAAGGAGCAGAGATATTCAAACTTTTCTTTTTTGTTTCTTTTGGGGGGTTGGGATTTTGAGACAGGGTCTCCATGTAGCCCCAGCTGGCCTAGAACTGCTGTGACCAGGTTAGCCTCAGACTCACAGAGTGAGTGCTGGGATTAAAGGCATGCACCACCATGCCGAACTCAGACTTAAAGTGTGTATGTCTCTGTGTGTGGATGCCTCCATGCCATGGTACATGTGGAGGTCAGAGGACAAATCTGTGGAGTCTGTTTTCCCTTTCCACCTCCATGTGAGTCTCAGGGATAGAACTCAGGTCATCAAGTTTGCACAGCAAGCACCTTTACCTGCTGAGCCATCTCGGCGGCCCAGATCTTCACTCTTAACAGGGAAGTTGGCTATTTGAGGGAGAGTATCAAGACCTATAGACAGCTGGGAGCAGTGGCTCATGCCTTTAATCCCAGAACTTGGGAGGTAGAAGCAGGTGAATCTCTGTGAGTTCAAGGACAGCTTGGTTTACATAGTGAGTTCCAGGCCAGCTGGGGCTACAGGGAGATCCTGTCTCAAAAACAGATTTTTAAAAAAATGTTGTATAGAGAGCAACTTACTACAGGTGGAGTCACTGTAAATCCAGGAATCAAAGAGAACTTCATAATTCCACTAAATTAGTGTCTACAGAAAACCCAAATATATTGCTTGATCCGTGAAGTGAGCACAGAATGTTGTGGAAAAGGAGAGGTGGGATATCAGAGGATAAGATAGGACTTTTGGAGAGTGTGCCCTCTTGGTTTGAGTCCTTTGGTACCTGCAGCAAGGAAGGCATTCTCATTATGGGAGCATGATGCCCATCATCACCGGTAGAGGGTGGTAGAAGGCTGCTGTAGGAGGCAAAGGCTCTTTGCATGTGCAATTTCATGTGCAATTTCATCTGTAGGGCCTGTGGGTGGGGCCTTCTGGCAGCACCTCACCCCCAGGGGGGAACCGCAGTGCCTTGGTGGCCTGAAAGCCTAAGCTTAGGGCCGGTGACTGCCTTGATGCAGCGTTCCTAAGGTGGACTCTGGTCCCGCTGTGCACCCTTTCCTCTGAACCCCCTTTAGCATTTAGTGTGTGTGTGTGTGTGTGTGTGTGTGTGTGTGTGTGTGTTCCTGCACACATTTGTGTGCCACGGCTTGTGCGTGGAGGTCAGAGGACAACTTGCAGGAGTTGGTTCTCTCCTTGTACAGTGTAGGTTCTATGGACCCAATTCAGATCCTCAGGCTTGGCAGCAAGCACCTTTACCTGCAAAGCTATCTTGCTGGCCTTTAAGCTTCTCTTAAATAAAATTAGAAGCTGCTGGGACCCATTCCATGTGGTCACAGCTTTTCTATTTTGATCTTTAGAACATAATCCGGATAATCTCAACTATGGCCAGGAATCCTATGTTACAAACATCCCCCACCTGTGGCTTCTCACAAGTCCCCAGTCAATTGCTGGTTGTCTTTCCTGGAGATCCAGTCTCCTTGGCACTGATTCTCAGATGTTGTCACCCCTGCAGGTATGGTAGATATAGATACCACCTTGGAGCTTCCTCCTCCGGGGACCCTCCTTGACTACAGCACCCCAGGAAACAGCGAGGCACCAGCCAGGTGATTCCCCACCCTTCCTCTGAGGAGGATGGAGCTGTCCCTGCTGTGCTCAGGCGATGCAGGGGGTGCAGGAGGGACTTGGGTTGGATCCTCTACATCAGATCCATAGGCCCTTTGGGGGATCGTGTGTCTGACTCTGTGCTGAGAGGGTTGTAAAAGCCACGTCTAAAAACCCAATCCCTGTCCTCACAGTGCCTGGCAGAGACTGGGACAGACCTGGGTCCCCAGGCTTTATCTGTACCTCTCTCAGGAAAGAATCATCCCTAAGCTCACCCCCTTTTTCATGGTGACTGTGACCGTCCCCCTGCTTGGATTTCCTTTGCTGCAGCATCTCTTCCACTCAGAGCTTCCCGGTGGACACCCAGACCATCAGGAAGCAGCCCACCTCCACTGTCTCTCCCTTCTCCACGGGGACACCTTTTCTGGATTCAGGTATTGATAACCCATTGCCCGTAGCAGGGGCTTCCTCCCAGGAGGTGTATCCTCCGGGATGGGGTGGGGAGGTCAAGATTGATCCTAGGCTTCTGGCTTCTGGAGTTGACACTGTGTCTCTGTCACTTGCTAATGACTAATTATTGAGAACAGAACTTTTTTTTTTTAATGGTTTTTATCCTGGTGGCCTATAATTGCTAGCTATTGAGCTGGAATGTAGTTCAGTCAGTAGAGTACTTACCTCATATGCACAAGCTGAATCATCTCTCAGTAGCCAAGGATAACCTTGAATTTCTGATCTTCCTGCCTCCACCCCCTGAGTGCTGGGATTATAAGTGTGTGCTACCTGATGATCTGAGTTCTGTACCTACAGAAGATCCAACCCAAGTCCCTCCTGCACCCCCAGCCTAGCCCGCCTCAGGGAAGTGGGGGCAGCTCTGTCTTGCTCAGAGGATGGGTTGGGAGTTACCTAGGCGGGTGCCTCGCTGTTTTATAGGGTGCTGCTGTCAGGGATGGTCCCCTGAGTTTGATCCCTAGCACTGTATAGACTGGGCATGGTGGCCTCTAATCCAAGGGTTGAAAGATGGAGACAGGAAGGTCAGAAGTTCCAGGCTGGGCTGGCAAGATGCCTTGACATGTAAGCCCTGGTGATCTGAGTTTGATCCCTGGAACCCACATAAAGGTGGAAGGAGAAAAACCTCAGTTGTCCTCTGACCTTACATTTGTGTTGGGGAACGTGCGCCCCCATACATGCTCATACACATACAATAATAGTGGAGAAAATTATTTTTTTTAAATAATTATTTTTTTTAAAAAGAAGATTGCCGGGCGTGGTGGTGCACGCCTTTAATCTTAGCACTTGGGAGGCAGAGGCAGGTGGATCTCTGTGAGTTCAAGGCCAGCCTGGTCTACACAGTGAGTTCCAGGACAGCTGGGGCTACAGGGAGACCCTGTCTCAAAAAGATAAAAAAAAAAAAAAAAAAAGATCAAGGTCATCTGCTGCTATGTAGCCATTTTGAGGCCAGCCTAGGCTACATGAGACTATCTCAAAAAAAAAGAACATAAGTTATTGAATGAGTTCATAACTTTGACTAGTGGCTTAATTTCTTTGACTCTAAATGTCCTCAGCTATAAAACAGAAAGAGAACAGGCACCCCTGGAATCCTTAGCATACAGCTTGTGGCCCCCAAATTACTGGGGCTCATTGGAGACATTTACTGTCAGGTAGTGATTTTTAGGAGTGGCAGTTCCAGTTATGGACATGAGGTGGCGATAGTTCTCGGGTCAGCAGTTCTCAACATGCCTTCTTGACCCTCAGCTTCAGGAGGGCCTGGAAACTTATTAGAAAAGTCCTTGAGGGCTGGGGATGTGGCTTAGATAGCATGGTGCTTGCCCAGCATACCCTAGGCCCTGGGTTCCATCCCCGGCACCACCTAAACCAGGTGTGGTAGCACATGCCTGAAATCCCACACCCAGAATGTGGAGGCAGGAAGATCAGGAGTTCAAGGTCATCTTCAGCAACACAGCAAGTTTGAAGTTTGCCCGGACTAGAGACCCTGTCTCAAAAGCAACAAACATTGAGCAGTAACACAGACCTACTTCCAAACAGCAATTAAGTAATTAAGAGCATCAGAGAGGGTGGGCTGTGTAAAAACCCGGGCTTGAGCTGGATGTAGGCTCAACAGTAGATACTTGCCTAATATGTATGAATTTGATCACTACTGTGGTGTGTGTGGGGGTGTGTGTGTGTGGGTCTATGTGTTTGTATGTTTAAAAAGTGTGGGTTCAGGAGACTGCTTGGCCTGGCCTGAGTCTCAGGGTGACTTTGGACAAACCTGTTTCCCTCCTTTGGTTTTATTTTATTTATTATTTTTATTTTATGTGTATGAGTGTATTGCCTGCGTGTATGTGAGTGCACCCGTGTCGTGCAATGCCACAGAGGTCAAAAGAGGGCTTCGCTGGAACTAGAGTTAAGGATGGTTCATAGCCACTATGTGGGTGCTGGGAATCAAACCCGGGTCTTCTGCAAGAGCAGTCAGTGCTCTTAACTGCTAAGCCATCTCTCCAGCCCTTGTGTTTTTTTTTTAATTAATTTTTATTGTGTATATTTGTATGATCATGAGTGCATGCATGCGCATGCCATGGTGCAGGTATGGAAGTTAGAGGACAGCTTTTATGGCGCTCTCTCCTTCTACCTTTATGTAAGTCCTGGAGATTGAACTCAGGCCACCAGGCTTCGCAGCAAGTATTTTCCCCGCTGAGCCATCTTACTGGCCCTGGCCCTCTCCCTTGTTTTAATGGAGATGTTATCTTTGTGGTGATACTGACTGACCTGTTGGAGAACACTTGTTGAGCTTGTCCATGCAGAGCTGACCCTGTGCCTGCCCTGGGGAGCTGGCAGTCTCAGGGCTTGGGGAGAGTTGTTCCTGATCAGATTCCCCCCTCCCTCCTCACCCCAACTGACCACACCATACTGTCTCCTATGGCCCTCAGAATGTGTCCTTTTGGACCTTAATTCCCTCTTCAGTCTAGCTCTCTGATGCTTCAATTTCTCTCCTTCTAAAGTCGTTAGTTTTTCTCGAATTCTAAGTTAGTCAGGTCCTGGAGTCAGGTGAGGGAGGGTAAAGAGATAAGAGCTGGATCAGGTACAGTCCTGGTTTGGGGAATGTCTCAACTGCTCATAGTGGAATCCACATCCCAGGAGAAGGGGAAGGAGGAAGTAGGCTGCAGCTAGGACTGTCCTGTGTGGTTGCAGGGAAGGCCCCAGCTCCTGGCTGTGAGCGGAGTACAGGATGCACTGTGTTTCAGGGCCTGCGTTCTTCTGGGTCACTGTGGTGCTGCCGCTGGTGGTGGTGGTTGGTTCCAGCCTCTTGCTCCTATGTCCCTGGAAGGCCTGCAGGAAGCGGTTCCGGCAGAGTGAGTGGATGTGTCATGGGGTCCTGGGGTGGATGGCTGCTTTTTGCTGGCCTGGCCTGGGTGCCTGTCTTGTCTGCCCACTCTCCTAGGGCTTACCCACTATACCCCATTCCTGGTGTCTTTGCAGAGCTCCACCTGTACTACCCAGCCCAGACTTCACGGCCCAAGTTGGAGCAGGCTGGTGAGTATCTAACAGTGCAAAGGACTGCCTAAGCCGTGGGGAACAGACAGATGCATGATGGGCCTGGGCTCCAGGTCTGGGCTCAGTACATTGAGCTCCCTCTCCTGGTCCAGACTCAGGTTCAACTCCGCAGTCTCCTGTCCATTTCCCCCCACCTTCTGTACAAGGAACATAAAGTCAGTGAAAACATGGGAGGTTTGCAACAGTGCCATGTGGTACCAGTGTAGAGTTGGTGCAGAGGGGAGGCCCAACCTGCTTTGTTTGCATTTCTTGCTATCACACTATGGGGGTGCTCTTGGGTGCTTTCCTCCTTTTCTCCTTCTCCCCCTGCTTAGTCCCCCCACTATCTGGGAGATGAGTCAGGAGGCCTAGGGTAAGGAGCGGTACAGGTGGCCCTGGGACCCTGGCTCTGCTCCTTAAGAACTGTGTGGGAGAGTTGCTAGATGCCTCTGTGACGCGGTTGCCTCCCTTGTAAAATGGTGTCTGTTGGTGGCCTGCCTGTGTCTGGAGCTCTGGCCTTCTGAGTCCTAGGTGGCTCAGAACCCCTTCCTGGGATTCGTTCTCATATCTGTCCTCCAGGCCAGCTCTTCCAGGCATCCTAGCTCCTGAGCCTCCCATCCCTCTGGCTGGGCATCTTTGCTAGCTTCCATCCGGACTCCCAGGCATCTGTAGCCAGGGCCTTCTCACCCCCATGTAGCTGGATCAAGGCGGATCTTTCTCAGCATGTGCATAAGCACTGAGTGAGCACCACTGTGTGCTGGACCCTGACAGGGGACTTGCTGGAAGCTTGCTTTCTGAGCCTTCTTAGGGCTCCTCTGACCCCCCCACCCCACCCCGCATGCCCTTCATTCCATGGGGAGGAACAGAGGCAGACTTCGACTCAGGCACTGTTCCTTGCAAGGATTTGCCCACCATGGCCTGAAGCAGGCCAGCCCTGCCTCTCTTCCTCCTTCCCTCAGCTCCGTCCACCACCCTGGGCCAGGTAGCCCTGAAGCCAGGTGGGTGCCCTGTCCTGAGATTTCCCCCTTGGGCTCTCAAGGAGCCTGTCAGTAGCTGACTGTTGACTCAGGCACCAAAACACCGTCCAGCAAGGCAGTTTTTGAGTTGGAGAAGTTTCACAAGTGCACGCCCGAACTCCCCATGCGAAGGGGTTTTTGTGTTTTGATGGTTTCAAGCCTGTTTCCATGAGCTGTCAGGCGCGGCTCATTGAAACTGGTGTTTGCTTTCTTGACATTTTTCTAGTATTAGAGTTTCCATTGCCGTCAGTTAAAAAAATTTTTTTTCTCTCTCTAAACCTTCGTGAGAGCAGTTTTGTTACAACAAGAAAGAAAAAAGACAAAAAAAAAAAAAAAAAAAAAAAAAACAGAGAGAGAGAGAGAGAGAGAGAGAGAGAGAGAGAGAGAGAGAGAGAAATACTGGGGTCAACACTGCGTGCTAGGCTGCTTCTGGACCACTGGCTTCTGGTGGGTTGCTTGATGTCTGGGTTTCCAGGGATGAGAGGAGAGGAAATTTGAGTCAGGGTGAGCACATAGGGCCCAGGTGGACATGGCCTCAGAGGATGGGCATGGCCTGGGGAGGGTAGGTCTGCTCTGGGACAGTGGGTAGCAGAGGAGCATTTGTTCATTGGATTTCTCCCTTCATGAGCACATCTCTAGTGCAGGCTCTGTCTAGGGACAAACTGTGTCCTGGCCCTTCCAAACTTCAGGCAAGTGCCACTGGCAAGGGCTGAGGAACAGTGTGAGAGGTGTATGTATATCCCAGCCCTGCTTCTCTTCTGCAGGGAGGGATCTTGTTCCCTGTATGTGAGCAGGAACCCATGGTTTGTGCAGGTGCAGTCAGTCAGGTGCCCACTTGAATCGATCCAACAATACCTCATGTGTCCTCGGTGACAGGCCTTTACCATACACAGATGTGATCTCATGGGGTGTCCTGTGAGGCATCCACCTCCACTGTCCCCATTTCACAGATGAGCCAGCATGAGGCACAGAAAGATGAAGTCAGCCAGCCCAGGCCACGTGCTCAGCAGGCAGCAGGATGGGAATTTGCTGTTATTGTCGTTAAGTTTCCGTGAACAGGGTGTCTCACCCTCAGCACTATTGACATGTGTCAGCAGATAGCTGGATCTGGGAGGAGGGGCTGTGCTGTGTACTGTAAGATATTTGCAGCCCACCAGATGCCCGGAGCACCCCTCCTTAACTGTGATAGCCCAATATGTCTCCAGCACTGTCATGTGGGCCCCGGAGAAGAAATTATAGCCTGAGAATCCCTGGTCTAAAATTCTTTCAGTATTTTATCTTAACTAATTAATAAAGGTTTTTTTTTTTTTTAAGATAAGGTCCCCTGTAGCCCCAGTGGCCTGGTACTTACCGTGCAGACCAGGCTGGCTTTGATCTCAATCAGATCCACCCGCCTCTGCCTCCTGAGCTGGGACTAACGCCCAGCATTAACTAATTATTTTGAGACAGCGTCCCTTGTAGCCCATGCTGCCCTTAAACTTGCTATGTAACCAAAGATGGCCTTGAACTTCTGATCTTCCTTTCCCAAGTACTGGGATTACCAGCATATTATATGTCACCAAGCCTGGTTTATGCATACCAGGGGAACAGACCCATGGTGGTTTCATGCTCTGCCAACTGAGCCACATCCCCAGCCTTCAGTCCTTTATTTTAATGCGAACCTGAACCATTACTTCAACTGTCATTACAGGGCGATGCAGGCTGAAAAAATTCCGTTTACTCTGAGGCAATTTCAAACTTCCCAGAAGTTTCAAGCACAGTAGAAAACAAAAAACAAACAAAAAACCCTTACCTTTTCCTAACCAGTTATGGGAGTAATTTACTGACTTGGTATCATCCCCAAATACCTCACTGTATATTTTGTAATAAAAGGGGGTGTGGAATCAAGGAATTCATTCACTATGATCCATTACCACCAATCAGTACCCAGGCCCAGACTGGGTTTCTTGATTCATTCCAATAACATCCTTTACACCAGAAGTCAGGCCTGGGTCTCGTGATGCTGCCTGTCACTGGCTCTCTGAGGTCCCCTCTCATTTGGGTCAGTTTGCAGTCTCTTCCTTCGTTTTCACAGCCTTGACCTCTGAGAAAAGTGTGAGCTAATTTTGCCTGTGGCCCTGACCTTGACTCAGTCTGGTATTTCCCTGTGAATGAACTCAGGCCATTTTTCTTTGATTCTGGGCTCTTTGAGTCCTGTGAGTTTCCAGCGGTCCCTTTCCTGGTGCTGGATGGTTAGAGCACTCTTGAAAGCTGGCGTCAGCCAGGCTGCACCTTGAAGATCTCTTTTCCCTTTGGTAATGACTGTTAAGGGAGCTCTTTTAAAACTGTGTCAATAACCTATCCTATCCTATCCTATCCTATCCTATTCTATCCTATTCATCTTTATTGAGACGGGGTCTCACTCTAGCCCTGTCTGACCAGGAACTCATAATATAGACCAGCTGGCCTGGAGATGAGATGTCTGCCTGCCTCTTCCTCCTGAGTTCCGGGAATAAAGGCAGCAGCATGCCGGGCCCTGTTCTGTCCTTTCTCAGGCTTCTGTTTCCTTCATTTGTGGATTTATGTCTGTGTTATAACCTGTTACTGTCACCATCATTCTTAGGTCATCAGGTTCTTAGGTCACTGCTCCAGAACAGATCAGCAGGAGTCCCTCCAGTTGTGAAGGACAAGGGACACATCCTTTTGTGTTTGGGACCTCTATGGTCTCTTGTTGTTTCTGACAGGTCTCATGTAGCCCAGGCTAGCCTCCAACAGGCTATATAGCTGAGACTGGTCTTGAACTTCTAATCCTCCTGCCTCCTCCACCTCCTGAGTGCTGGGATACAGGCGTGCACCACCGTGCTCTGTTGTAAGGTGCTGACCACTGTCTTCTGCCCTGGAACCTTTCCAGGCTCTTTCCTCCTAGGGATCCATTGCCTAAACCTGCCTGGATCCCAGGTGCAATCTTCTTCCTTTGGACTGTCCTGCCTCCCACAGTAGTAGGATGGGACTGGGAGAGAAGAGCACTGGGATGGAGCATGTGGCTTTCGGGCAGCCCTGGGAGATGCCGTCCCAGAAGCCACTATTGCACAGAGCATCCTGGACTTGGGTCCTGGGGTACCAGACAGGTTTCCGAGAAAGTTGTGGTCATTCCACAAAGCAAGGAAACTAATAAATGAGGACAGGCAGGCTAAAACAACAGCCTTAGGGGAAGAGCACTTAGGCAATCTGACCTCTGAACTCAGCAAAATTTGTTTTGGGCTGTCATCAAAGTAATTGTGGGTTGTGATGGTGGATACTGGAACCTTCCAGATTCTGCCCCTTTTACCTTCATGTTATTGTATGCTTGCTTCTGAGAGTCTAAATGTAACTTTTCTTTTCTTATACAATAGAGTGCCTAAGCTGTGTCAGCCACTGGGCTTGGCAGCACCTACAGTACCTTCCCTTGGGCATACTTCTATTTGAAAAGAATTCTAAATAGATTTAACTTTCTAGAAAACTTTTAGATTAATATAAAATTTCAGAGCCAGGTGTGGTAGTACACACCTGTATCTCAGCACTTGGCAGGTCGAGACTGGAGGATCGGGAATACAAAGTCATCTTCAGCTCAAGTTGAGGCCAGCCTGAGCTACATGAGCCTCTGCTCACTTCCCCTCCCCAAACTGACAACAGAGTAGATTCCCCATGTCCCCACACCCCACTTCTTCTTTTAAAGATTTATTTATCTTTATTTTATGTATGTGAGAGTTTTGCCTGAATGTGTGTATGTGGTGCTCACAGAGGCCAGAAGAGGGTGTTGGATCTTCTGGAACTGGAGTTACACGCACTTGTGATTTACTTAGGTTTCCCTTCTTACATTGGGTTATCTTGTCTCCTTAGGCTCCTCTGACCTGCGACAGCCTTTCAGACTTCCTTTGACTTGGGTGGCCTTGACAGCATGTAACTTCTAAGATGTTTTTTTGTGGGACTTGTCTAATACTTTTTCTTAAGACTGGAGTTCTGGGTTTGCAGGAGGAAGACCACAGAGCACAGAGCCTCACTTATCACACCAAGGCCCTGTTCCCAAGGGGACTTGGCATAGGATATCTGCTGTGTGTGTGTGTGTGTGTGTGTGTGTGCGCTGCGGATGGATTCCTGGGCCTTACACTTGGCAGACTACTGTCCTATTGAGTCCTATCTGCAGTTTTGAGATCTCGCTTGTGTGTGGTACATGCCAGACAGGTAGATCTCTGTGAGTTAGAGGCCCAGCTTGGTTTGCATAATGAGACCTTATCCGGAAAACAAACAAAAACCTAAACAGACCACCTCTAAAGTTAGCCAGGTCTATCCCATTTCCCAGATGAGAGGACTAAGTCTCAGAGCCTTGAAGTAAAGTCGTGCTGGTTCCCGCCAATGAGGCGGTGCATTCCTGGATGGCTCAGCCGCCTCTTGGTGCTTGGCTTTTTTTCAATTTTTCAGGCATTATAAAGAGCCCTGCTGTGCACAGCCTAATTGTCCTCATTAGTATGACTTCCTGAGGGTGTGGTTCTCCACTGAGAGTCCACTGGGTCAAAGGCAGCTAGGACTCCTAGGCCTGATGGCTCTTTAGAGAGAGGGAGCCTACTTCGAGGACCCGAGCAGCCTCTAGTCCACCCTCTTTCTCCTCAAGACCGAGTTCTCATCTCTTGTTTATTTTCTCTTGTTACTTTGACACACACTTTTTTTTATTCTCTTGGCTACTCCAGTGACTTGGCACCAGAGGTCATTTTGCTGATTGCAAAACTCCAGATTGCTTTCAAAAGACAAGTTTCACTTGACATTTTAAAGATGGCCAGCCTGGGCTACATGAGACCCTGTCTCACAAAACCAGAATCAAACAAAAAAACACAAACCAGTCAAACAAAATGCCCTGTATCTCAAGCCAGAGAGTATCTGCCACAGTAGTGGCTTGGGCTTGTGGTTAGTGGCCTCCTGAAGGAAACAAGCCACAACTTCCCTAGATGACCACTCTGCTGGGGACAGTGGTTACCAGGCTATGTAAGCAAGGAGAACATTCACTAACTTGAGACTTGGCCATGTCATTTTATATGAGATTTCTTTTGTGCATCATTCTGGCCCATTTCCCCACCGGATACTTTCTGCTGCTGGTAAGTGTGTGCAAAATACTAAGAGTGCATCCCAAGCCACCAGGTGTCCACCGCACCTGGAATTGTGTTTCAACTTTCTCGTTGGTTGCTGTGCAGTGAATGTGTCAGTTGGGACTCAGAGCCAGTGGTGCCCCAAGCTGCTGAACTAGAAAGTGTGTTTGGGAAACAGCTCAACTGGTGCACTGACCTTTCCTGGCAGGGTTGCCTAGTTGGTGAGAACCTGAACGGTCCTGTAGAGTCTCTAGGTTGCTTCCTAGGAGTCAGTCATGACTCTGTCCTCTTAGGGGATGGTCCACGCTAGGCCTGGGCTGGTTTGCTTTAGGATGTACTCAACAGGTGGCTTGTGAACCATGGTCGAACATCACCACGCTCTTGGGTGACCTGGCCCTTATTTGAGGCAAGAGGACATGGGCGTGGATGGCAGGGACTGAGGTGGGCAGGAAAAGGTTATTTCCTGAGACTCACAGCCTGGGTACCTCCTGAGCCCTCAGATGGCTGGCACAAAGGGAAGCAAGGCAGACAGAGTGGGAGTGTTGTGTCCTTGAGGACTGCAGCCTGGGCCCTTTTGGCATGTGGAAGGGAAGCCCCAGCTCACTCATGCTCCAAAGGCTGGCTTCAGGCATGTCTCTGGCAGAGTTCATCCCCTGTGTTTGGGACCTTCATCCTCCCTGTTGTCTGGCTTGAGTTCCCCGATGAGTTCTGCATGGCGCTCTGGAGAGTCCTCAGCTCTTGGTTCTCTAACAGATGCTGGCAGAAGCCCCAGACCAACCCTTCCCAAAGAAAGCCCCAGACCAACTCTGCCCAATGAATGCCCCAACTTAGGAAAACCATGTGTTTTTGAACCACTCCTATGTGTGTGTTAGGGGCTGGATGAGAGTCAAGGTACTCCCTGGCTTGGGCATGGGGGATAATAGCCTGGGGAGAGATATGGCCCCTGTTCTCACGTTGCATCTGAGATATAACCATTAGGAGATAATCTCCAGGTACACAGGGCCAGATGCCAACTCTGACACCATCCGCTACCGGTCTGAGGACCTAAGCCCTGAGCTGGGCAGAGCTCAGCCTACCTCAGATCTGGAGGTACCATCTGCCAACAGGTTGGGTGGGATGGGTGGTTGGAATTCTCTTTGGTGATATTGCTACCTTTTTGCTTTTTTTCAGATTCCATACCCACAGGGAAGCTGACAGTGAGTACCAGCCTCTCACCTCTACCCCTGTTTCTGCCCCTAAGTCTGACTCCTTTTAGATCTGTGGTTTCAGGGCTGCTCCAAGATGATAGGGGTTGTAGGTGGGTAGGAAGGCTATCCCTTCCCCCTGCACCCAGGGGTCCAGGGAGCTACTGACAAAAGGATCTGGCCTGGGGCCCCATGGCTGGGCTTGGCCGGGGACAGAGAGCCCCACCCCAAGGCAGCTTCCAGCTCCTGGCTCAGCCCCAGGGGATTTCCTGCAGGGTTTGCAGACAGCAATTTGGTTTGGGCCACTTTGGGGCACCAAGTATGTTCTGGAGGGAGGCTATGATTGTTTCTCTCTCCTTGGGAATCTGGTCCTCAAAACTGGATGACAAATCAATAGCACAAACGTTTTAAAAATTAGCTACAATGTTTTAAGCACTTACTGCTAGGCAGCTGGTTCTGTCTCTTTACCCTTTCTTCAGGGTTTTAGTGTGTAGCTTGTGCTGGCCTTGAGCTTTCTAGAAGTTGCTTCAGGGAGTCCTTCAATACCCAGGAGTTTGCACTACTGTTCCATTTGACAATAGAGGAAATGACGACCAGACAAGTCAGGGGCTATGCAGCTGGTGGCTCCGTTTGTACCCATGCCCCACACCGTGGGGCTCGCTGTGTACCAGGCACAGGGCTTTATGGAAGCTACCATTATTCCAGTCACCCACGCAGGCCCATGTCCTCTTTAGGCTTGTCATGGAGGCCAGTGCCCTGTGTCCAGCTTCCCAAGGGACAGGTAGGGGTGGGTGGAGCTAAGAGAGAGGGATGGAGAGTTCAAGGTAGGCATCTGCCTGTGGTCTGGTGCCTGGTGCTTATGGCTCCCAATTGACCAAATCATCCTTCACTTTCTTTTAATTCAAGCATTCCTACACCAAGAAAATGTTTCTGGTGTTTCATCTTTAAACATAATATACAGAATCACAGTCTCAGTTTCAAATCCTGTACTATCCCATTCAAATGTGCTTGGACTTAACAAATGACTTAACAACACAGAAAAATTTTATGAAAGATAGCAGTAATGTAGAAAGTAAGCAAACAGAGCTTTGCCTAGTGGGTGGTGCATCCCAGTGCCCACGGAAAGGCACAGTCTTTTGGCCTTCGAATTGTTTTAAAATTTTATTTATTTATTTATTTATTTATTTATTTGTTTACTTTTGAGACAAAGTCTTCTGTGTAGGCCAGGTTCGACTCCAATTCATTATGTAGCTGAGGATAACCTTGAATTTCTGATCCTCCATCCCAACTGGTGGAATTGTAGGCATGGCTAAAATTAGCTTTTTTTTTTTTTTTTTTCCTGTTCTGGGGCTCAAACCAGAGTGTTCTGCAAGCACACTAACACTGAGCCATAGCCCCATCCCTGGCCTTCGAGTTATTTTTAAAGGAATATTCAAGATAACTGAGATGTGCTCTCTGACCTCCCCAGGCACAAAGTCCTGGGTTCAACTTCAGCACTGTATACACTGGGCATGGTAACACATGCCTGTAATCCCAGCACTGGGAAGGCAACAGATCAGAAGTTCAAGGTCATCCTCAGATGCATTTGGAGTATGAGACTAGCCTCGGTTAGATAAGACCCTGTCACAAACAAACAGAAACAGAACAATCAAAAAATGTAGACATTCCTGGGAATGTCTACACAGATAATCTGGTGTCAGGTGTCTTGTGGCAGCTTTAGAGTAGAGAGGACACTTCTCAGAGATCCCCTGGCTTCCAAGCCCAGACGCTGCGGAGTCAAGAGCATCTTACCACAGCATCCCTTCTTTTTCCACAGCAACTGAAGAGAAGCGGGTCAGTGACAGAGCCCAGCACAAATCAGCTGAGCTCCGTGAGCCCCCCAACTGTGGAGACATGTGCCAGTGTTGGTGCGGCCTGCTTGGAGAGCCTACCGCTGCTGGATGATGGCCAAGCGGGGATCCCTTTGGCCCCCAGGGATCCTCCAGAGCCCCGGGTGTCTACGGAGCATACCAATAACAGGATCGGTGAGTTGGCCTGTTTGAAAAGTCCTGCTGTGACTAGGGGATGGAAGGGAGATGGGTGCCGGCCTCTAGAGACCCTGGGGCTGGAAGAGATATGGGCTCCCCATCATCATCACTTGCTCCTTCTCTGCCCCAAGTTAAGTTTCTGTCAAGGTGGAATGGTAGGAGTGTTGCTTCATGGGGGCCACTGAGGGCTTTCACCAATTGAACATGTGATAAGCTCATCCTTTGCCATTATTACAGAGAAAGTGAATCCACCCCCCACCAACCCAGAGCCTGAGGGCACAGGAGGAAGGCATGCTACTGAGACAAGATCTGCCACCTCTCTCCTCTCTCTCTCTGTCTCTGTCTCTCTCTCTCTCTCTCTCTCTCTCTCTCTCTCTCTCTCGATAAGTCCCTAACCTAGGTAGCCAAGGATGACCTTGAACTCCTGATGGCTCTGCCTCCACATCTGCACTGCTGCAGGTGTGCACCGTTGTTCCTGGCTTTGCCTGTGCTGGGGCTGGAACCCAGGGCCTCATGCATTCTAGACAAGCTGTCTACCAGTTGAGCTGTTTCCTAAGCCCATGGTATATCTCTTCATGGCTGTCGCACACCTTCTAGGGATAGTGACTTTCTCTAATCTTATTAGGGAAACTGAGGCACAGGGTAAAATGATTTTCCTTATTGCTTTGCTAGTAAGTGGCACTGTTGGGATTTGGCCCCATATCTGCTGGGTTCTAAAGCACTGATTTGTCTACACCATGAGTCTCTGCAGGAGCCCAGAGGCCAGCCTTGTGCTCTAGCATTTCCTGTGTCTGCTGCCCTCCAGCCAGGACAGTCGTCCACTGTTGTTCCCGTGGGTCCTGCCTCCCTGCTCACTTCTCACCACTCTGGTATAGTCAGTATTTGCCCTAAAATATATCCCTGCCCCAGTCCACCCCTGGGCAAAACCTCCAGAGTGCAGTTTGAGCTTTCAGTTCTCACTCAAGCATTCAAGGCTGGTTCCCAGCCTGCTCGCTGTCTCTGTCTCTTGTCCCCCCTCCCCTAAGCTGTTCTGTAGAGTTTCTTCCCCACCTTCCCAGGTCCTGGGGGACCCTGCTCATATGGCTTCTCCCCCGGGTAGCCTTCCTACTCTGTCCACTCTCTGAGTAGATCAATGCTCTCCATCCCCACCCAATGTCCCCAGTCCCTAGCAGCGTGGCTGGGGATTCACATTCTTCCCAGCTCTCCAGAGCTGGGTCTCGCTGAGCCCCCCTCCCTAGAGAGTCGCCAGCCCTACAATGATGCTGGAAGGCGCCGATAACTGTTCTGTACATTTCTATGGCAGACAGTGTAGGTGAGAATGCTGAAACGTTCTTTGTCTTGAAGACACTTTTCCAATTACAGCTTTCAGTAAGTTTTTTTTTTGAAAAGGATGTATTTGGGGAAATACTGCCAAAGGCTCCTTCAGTTTCCCAAGAAGTCCTGATGGGTTTCTGAGTCCAAGCTAGGACTGTGCTTCGAACCTGCAGGTGGAGCTGGAGCCTGTGCAGGGATGGAGGAAGTACATACACTGGGGGTGATGTTGGGAAGTGCTGTAGAGGGAAGGTCTTGGAGGTCCTCTGGGACCCCAGGCCTCAGGCGACCCCTTTGTCCTCCTAATCTGACTTCAGAGGGGTGATCTCCCCATCCAGTTCCCAAGTAGGACAAACTGAGGTCTGAGCTTCTTCCCTTTCAGGCGATCTGCCTGCCTCTGCCTTCCAAGTGCTGGGATTAAAGGCGTGAGCCACCATGCCCGGCTATTTATCCTTTTTTTTTAAAAAGATTTATTTATTTATTTTTGTGTTTTTTGAGACAGGGTCTCCCCATAGCTTCAGCTGGAACTTGCCATGTAAACCGGGCTGGCCTTGATCCCACGGAGATCTGCCTGTCTCTGTCTCCCAAGAGCTGGGATTGACAACATATACCACCATGCCTGGTTGATATATTTTATTTTATTATATTTTATGTGTATGTGTGTGGGTATGTGCTCATGCATGCAGGTGCCTGTGGAGGCCAGAGGCATCAGATTCCCTCTGGAATTGGAGTTACAAGCAAGCCACTGGATGTGGGTGCTGGCAACTGAACTCAGATTCTCTATAACCGCAGGAAACATCCTTATCCTCTGAGCTATCTCTTCAGTTCCCTAACTTGAAATTTTAAATTTTTTGGTGTTTGTATGTATATGCGGTGTGTGAGTTTCAAATGTTTGTGGATACAGGTGTGTGTAGAGCCCAGAGGTTGATGTTGGGTGACTTCTCCAACACTCTCCACCTTCTGCATTGAACCCTTGTATACTTGAACCCAGAACCTGCTGATTCGGCTAGTCCAGCTAGCCATTTTGTCTCTGCCTCCTGCATGCCGAGATTGCAGGGAGCTCTCTTACCCACCCGCGTCATGGGTACCGGGGATCTGAACTCCGATTCTCATGCTTGCACAGCAAGAATTTTATCTGCTGAGCATCTCTGCCACCCATGGTTTTCTTGGTTTTGTTTTTGTTTTTTGAGGTAGACTCTCATATAGCCCAGGCTAGCCTTGAACTTGTATGCAGCTGAGGATGTCCTTGAACTCTTGATCCCCAGTGCTGAGGTTACATATATACAAGACTGCATGAGACCATAACCCTCTTTTTATTTTTACTTTATTTTTGAAACAGTTACCCAGGCTAGCCTTAAACTTACTCTACAGCCAAGGTTGCCTTGAACTTGCCATCTCTTGCCTCAGCCTCTTGCATAACTGGAATTATAGGCCTGTTCTTCCAAGCCCAGCCTGGCCCCATCTTTTACCCAGCCCATCAGGTCAGGGTTCCAACATGCCTTGATGGAGGGTGTGGGCCAGGGCCCGAGGCCCTGCTCTGGGCTATGGGGCACAGGGGGACACATAGCCTGTTCCTTTCTCTTACCCCTCCACTGCTCACTGTCATTTCTCACACTTCTCTCTTTCCTGGGTGTGTTAGAAACCAAAATAGAAGTGCTGGCATGGTGCAATGTGCTCAGGCACCCTGGCATGCCTGAGAATCTCTCTGGGCTTCCTGAATCTGAGGGTGTAACTGGGAGGCAGGGGTCCCTGTGCCCCCTGCCCCCCTCCACCCTGCTCTTTAAGTTCCTTCTTGAGCTTCCCCATTCAGTCTGCAGAGTCCATTGGGGGGTGGGGTTAGGGGTGCAGCTCCCAGACAGAGGCCAGTGGAGGCACTGGGCCCAGGGAGTAGAGCCAACTGCCCTGGTGAATCCAGGCTTCCTCCTCCACTGAGGCTCCCTATCTCCCTCTAAGGAAAGGCCATACCAGCAGCCACCTGCATCAGCCTGTGCTGAGGACCACAGGGAGTGAGCTCTGGTGCTGGACTGGGTCATCCATCCACTTGACACTCAGCACCTACTCTGCCTGCAGGCTATGAGGTTCAGGAGCTGGACTCCAAGGGGGCATGCAGAATCACTGAGCCCTGGCTACTGTTGTGTATCAGTAGGGCCCAGACTTCTTCAGGGCCTGCTGAATCTGCCAGGGTTGCCTGAACTGATGAAGCTCCTGGGACATAGGACCACCAATCCCAGGCAAACCAGGTTATGTTAGTTACTCCAGGTGTCCATTTTAGGCACATAGATGAAAACAGGAAAGGTAGATGGAAATTTCTTTGGAGGTATCTCCTAACCACCTGGCAACCTTAGAAAGGCCTCAAGTTCTTACCCATGCAGCACAGATAATGGGGAGGGGGCTTCATGCTTGCAGGAGTGACAGGCCTCAGAAACCCTGCAAATGCCTCTCCTTGTAAACACCTCTCCATGCATCAGAGATGCTGTGTTATCTGAAGACACACAGCAGGTGTGCTGGAAGTATGCTGGGGTCCTGGTCTTTTCCCTCATGCATCCTCTTTCCTTGCAGAGAAAATCTACATCATGAAGGCTGACACGGTGATTGTGGGAACTGTGAAGACTGAGGTGCCCGAGGGCCGGGTTCCAGTAGGGTCAGCAGGGCCTGAGCTAGAGGCAGAACTGGAGGTGGACTATGTCCCTCACTACCCAGAACAGGAGACGGAACCACCTTTGGACAGCTGTACTGATGTCATGTTTTCAGTGGAGGAGGAAGGGAAGAAGGACCACTGGCCTACAACTGTCTCTGAGAAGTAACACCCAGTGTCAGCTGGGGCTGGAGAGCAGCTGGGTGCCCCCTTGAGGCTAGGATGATACCAAGCTGGGAGGTGGCCACTGTGGCTTAAACGGAGCCCCCAGCATCTAGTGGTGGCACAGAGCAAGGCCCACTGCTTTCTGCTGCTGGGAGAGCTTGCCCTTGAGCCCTGGAACTCGGCACTCCTTGTCAGGGCCCGTGCCTGTTAAGGGAAGGGCCACAGGTTGGTCCCAGGCCTCCCTGTGCCCTGCCTTCTCTCCCCAGGTCTCGGATGACAGCTTTACTGGCATGCCGCCAGGCTCTAGTCATAGTGGCAATCATGGTCCCCACTGGGCACAGAACCAGCATCTGCAGCTTTTCCTCCAGAGGCAACAGGAAGTTGGCGGATGGACCTTCATTTTCACTGGTATCCTCTGGGCTGCACAATGATGAGGGCGCAGTAGACCCTCATGAGTGCAGCCCACTTTCCCTGTTCTGTAGACTCCAAGGTAAACCAGAGATCAACTTCCCGGCTTCAGAACGTCCCTACTAGGAGGGACCCAGACATCTGTGGACCCTGAGCAGCTGCAGTGACCTCACCCACCCAGTCCTGCTACAAGCTCTGCTTCTTCCAGGGACTTCCTCCCACATGGGGATGGGGGAACCACAGTCCTTCCTGGGGTTCTCAACTGCTTTGTGCTGACATCTACTCCATCCTGGAAATGAAGGAGCATGGTCCCTAAGTGTCCCTCATCAGGACTGCCATCTGGCTCCTTCTCTACTCAGCCTGTTAGAGTTTGGGTGTTGAAAAGCACCCTGTGTCACACTCTGCCTGCCGTGCTCTGCGCTCACTGTGGGGAGGTGGTGCTGGCAGACACACCTGGAGTTCTGCTTTCCCCCCCTTTTGAGATTCTGGGAATTGAAGCCAGGGTGTTGTGCATATCAGACAAAAGTTCTACCACTGATCTATATCTCCAGTCCCAGCCCAGCATTTCACACTAAGGACTTAAAGCTGCTGTGACCGCCCCCCGAGCCTGGTTCACTCTTAGGGACCTCCAGCCTCTGGCTGACAAACAAGCAGCTGATGTCACATCTGCCGGTCTGCTGCAGCTTGGGGACTCTGGACTTACCCATGGGCCAGGCAGGGAGAGCTTTGTTTACTCATCAGCTGCTCACTCTCTGGAGGAAGCTGGGCCTGGTCAGGAATCACAAGGGGAAGTTTCTAAAACCACTGGATCTTTTGGGGAAAGTTGGAACACCTGGGGTCACCATAGGTGTAATACCAGGACCTGGATATAGACCAGAAGGGCTGTGTGGGACTACCTAGTTGTCCATTTGTCTTGTGGGCATACACAGTGACCCCACAATGACCAGTTGGGTGCTACACTCTGAGTGGAGGATAGGATCTTGCTCTCTAGCCTAGGCTAGACTCATTCCATATATAGCTCAGGCTGGCCTTGAACTTAGGTCCACCCACCTCAGTCTCCTAAGGGGTGGGATTACAGGCATGTACCACCACAGCCACTGCCATACATTTGAACAAAGTCATGCACTCCCCTGTAAAGTGTCCCTCAACACAATTTTGGACCTTTGAAAACTCCATTAGGGCCTGTAAAAATGCAGAACTGTAAGGCTGGAGACAGTTCAAGAAATAAACTAAGTGGGAAACTGGGATGGAAGGCAGGGTCTCTCTTCCAGGCCCATGGGTAAGTCCAGAGTCCCCAAGCTGCAGCAGACTGGCAGGGCAAGGATTCTCTCTGTACTGCTGATACCCACAGCCAAGGGTGGGAGCCTGTGACCTGCCGGCTGGTCCCTCCAGAAGTCCTTCCATGTCCATTCAGGCAGTCTTCCTGAGGATGCTGACAACAAAGGCTGTCTGATCACAAGGTTGCCTTTAGAATTTGTAAGAAGAATCCTGGGCCTCTCCAGGGCTTTCTTCCTACAGGTCTGGAAACATGCAGCTTTGGAAACACAGCTGGAGGGGTCTGTGGAACAAGGAGCTTCTGTGGCAGACCAGGAGCAGCCCCACCACTCTGCGTACAGTTCAGGGTCACCTCAGGCACAGTCCCTACTACAGACAACCAGCCTGGCATGTCCCTTCACAGGCTCCTGTCCACCCTATCCCCAGGACTGCAGCCCACATCTGCATCTCACCCACAGCCTGGCACTGAACCAGCTGCTGGTTGCCATGTGGTCAGGCCGGGAGCCAGAGCATTCCTACCCTGCCGGCGATTCTGATATCCAAGATGATGGAAGGACAGGCCCCTGCTCCTCAGGGTGGGTAACGCTGGGAGGTAAAGAACTCCATCTCCACCTCTTCCCGAACAGTTGTGAGGGGTTGGTAAGTGCCCTGTTCTGTGAAGCTGTCACTTCCCAAGGCAGTCTTGTAGAAGCTCTAATACCCAAGAGGAGATGAGGGCTGAGTCCTCCGAGCTGCTTCCTCTCCATCTTGGTCTTCCTCCCCTGTAGTGAGTCTAGAAAACCCAGGACTAGTTCTTGGTCATTTTTGTGCCCTGGTCACCAGGCACTCGAGTTGAGTGGACATGAGAGTGTGTGGGACTGAGAGACCACCTTCTGCAGCACATGTCTTTTCTTGTGCCCGAGGAGCTGGTGGTCAGACCCAGTTTCAAATCTCTGCTCTCCCAGTGACCAATTAGGGTGCTTTCTTATGTTCCTTGATCACTCTAAGGCCATCGTCTGTTTCTATGACACAGCACCTGAGACTAGGAAATTTACAAAGAAAATAATTTTATTCTGGCTTACGGTTCTGGCAGCTGGAAAGTCCAAGATTGGGCAGCTCTATCCAAAGAGGGTCTTGCGCTGTCTCAACTATGGTGGGAAAACCAGGGGAAGTGGTTGAGCGTGCAGGGAGCTGCCTCATGTGGTAACAACCTGCTCTCGTGGTAACTGATCTAGTTCCCAGACAGCAAGAACTCACTCATTTCTGAGAGTTCTCACTGGAGTGCCTGACTCGACACTTCTGGTCCCCACCTCAGGATGCTGCAAGATAGCAATCAGACCTCAGCTGGAGCTTGGAGGGGCCTTACCACATTCACAAATCCCACAGCCTCCGTCGTCATTTGTGAGATGGATATTGGCCCTGAGGGCCATGGGCTCCCTGAGAAGCCACTCATTGTGGGGTTGTGGTCACTGACTAGTGACTTCCATCTTTATTCCACCCCAGTGGCCACTTGCCAAGAGTGATCCTTCTCTTGTGCTGCAGAATTTGGCTCTTTCTCTCTTGCTTACAAGAGAATTCCCTTCCAAAGAACTTGGGCTAGACACACATGTCCTAGAAAGAAATGTTCTCATAGGTGGTTGAATCTAAGGCTGGTCCTCCAAAGTTTACTTTTGGATTAGCCTGGGCACCTGGCCTCCCTCGGGGCTAAGTTGCCCCTGTGGTGGGCAGGCCTCTTCTTGCTGCCTGAGGTGCCTTGAGAACTCTTCAAATCAGAGGACTGGCTATATGTTAGACGTCCAAAACTCTGGGCATGTTTGTGAGGTGCTGTGGAGTACCTCATGACTCTAGCACCTTCCAGACCACACCATATTGCTACTCAAGATCTCTCTTCAAAGAGTGGCCTCCTTCCCTCCTTTCCAAAATACTCACCATGGATGGGGCCCAGGCTAGCAGAGTTTGTGGCACATAGCCTTGTTCCCAGTGGTCCTAGTCCAGTGGATTAGATAGACAGTGGCTCAAGATCCAGTCTATGAGTTGGATTGTGTCTTTTCTTCTGGATGCCCAAATCTAGGTTTGGGGGCAGAGTGGACGGGAAACGTTGCAACAGCTTCCCTGAGTAGACACCCACCCCGAGCTCCACCTGAAGGAAGTAAGCCAGCAAGAGATGAAAGGCAGGGAATGGCCAGTGCAAAGGCCCTGAGATAGGAAAGCTCCTCAACTTGAGGTTCAGGAACACTACGTGAGCAGTGGGAAGCCTATGGTGGCCTGGTGGATCATAGCGAGACAGATTTTATTAGAAGACCATTCCGCATTTCTATTGTCCTGTGAGTAAAATAAACTTACTGGTATTATTTTAGGGTGAGTGAAAAAGGGCAAACCGTGGGTATCAAAGGTCCCGTTAGCTGATCTCAGAGGGAAGCCAGGGATGCTGGCTGTGGATGCTATTTGTGGATTCTGGTTGTGGGTGCTGGCTGCGGATGCTGATTGCAGATAATGACTGCAGATGCTGGCTGTGGATGCTGGTAGCAGGAAGTGGCTGAGCAGGAACTCACACAACATTCCTGGGCACTGTTGCTGAGCCACAAGAGAGGAGGCAGGACGTCTAGGCTCCTCTTTCTTCTGGTGTCTTCTAAGCCCAGATGGAAAAATCTAGGGGAGGTTGGTCGCTTCTGCTTGTTTGGGTGTTAACATAGCAGTGGCCTGAACGTCCTTGCTTTGACCTCTGGCCCATTTGGAGCATTTTGTTGCCATGGTGATGGCCCAAGCTGTGATTGTGGGCAAGACAAGGGTTCTGCCTTAGGCTCCCAGTCACACAACCTTACACAGTTTCAACTAATTTTCTGATTGGCAGAATGGACCAAATCTTTGCCTGACAAGAGGCTGACAGATAGGGATAGAGCCCCTGGCTGTTTGGGTCACCACACTGCCTTTTAAAGAGCATGAGAATTCCCTAGCCTTTCCATAGTCTGTATCTGGTTTTCCTGATAACAATCCTAAAAGCTAAGGGAAGCTCTAAACAGAGGTTCAGAGAGGGAAAGTAAATGGCTCCCTGTCATACAGCTGGGGTGTTCCAGAGCCAGCATCCATCCTCTCAAGCATGAGCCCAAGTCCTTCCTGCATGCAGGTGGGCTGACTGTCTCTGTGGACATTAGCAGCCATCCTGGGGCAAGTCTCATCTCCAAGTCACCGCTAGTAGTGTGGTTTGAATTTGGCCTGTTCTCCACAGAACCATGTTTTGAGCTGTGGGTTCCGACCTGGTGGTGCTATTTTGGGAAGCTGTGGAGTTTTTAGGAGGTAGCCTCTCAGGCAGAAAGTGATCACTAGGGGCAGAAGCTTTAAGTCATACCTAATCCCTGGATCCTACTGGGCTTTTTGCTTCCTGGTCCACTGCCATGTGAACAGCCTCTGTCACACACTGCAGCGTTCATGAACTCTGCCACACCTTCCTCCCCATGATGGATGGATCCCTCTGAAACCATAAGCCAAAGTAGATCTTTCCCCCTTGCTTTGTTTCAGTCGTCAGACATTGTGGTCACAGTACTGTGAAACTCAAACTGGGAAGTAAAGGAGATGGATTGGAGGGTTTGTGTGTGTGTGTGTGTGTGTGTGTGTGTGTGTGTGTGGTGTATGCATGTGCATGTGCTGGTGCACACAGAGGCTGTCAGTGTCCTAGTCTTTCTCAACTTTACTCCCTTGAGACAAGGTCTCTCATTGAACTTGGAGCTAGGCTGGCAGCCAGCAAGCCCCAGCAATGCTCCTGTCTCCACCCCCACAGCTCTGGGGTTACAAGTGCATACAGTTGCCTGGTCGTGGTGGCACACACCTTTAATCCCAGCACTTGGGAGGCAGAGGCAGGAGGATCTCTGTGAATTCGAGGCTAGTCTGGTTTACATAGTGAGTTCCAGGCCAGTTGGGGCTACAGGGAGACCATCTCAAAAAGACCAGAAAACAAAACAAAAACGAAGTGCATATAGTTGGGCTGGAGAGAATGGCTTAGTGGTTAAGAGTACCAACTACTATTCCAGAGGCCCCAGGTTTGGTTCCCAGCATCCACACGTTGGCTTATCACCATCTGAAACTCCTGTTCCAGGGGATCCAGCACCACTTTCTGGCCTCTGCAGGCACTGAATGCATGTGGTGCACTAACATGCAAACAAAACAGTCATACACTTTTTTTTTTTAAGTGGGTAAGTAAAGCGTGGGTGTGGAGTCTCATGCCTTTGGTTCCAGCACTCAGGAGGCTGAGACAGGAGCCTGTCTTGAGCCCAGGAGTTCAAGATCTGCCTGGAGAGTATAAGGTCTTACTTCAAAAAAGAAAAAAGTAGCCAGCAACAGTTGAGTCCTTTTTAAAAAAAAACATTCATGTATGTATGTATGCATGCATGTATGTATTTACTGTGATATGTGCAAGG